TTCGACGCTGATTGGTCATTTTCTTGCGGCGCCTCTCGCACAACCGAATAAGGATTTGGAATAATGATTTCATCTCTCTGCACCCAGAAAAAGATTTATTCAAGTAAAGCAAATGAGATACGTTGAAATCATGTTTCTTTGAATCTACTGTCTGAAAGTCAGTCAGTGAACTGTCGCTGAGAGCAGTGAATATTCGCTGATTCACAGTTATAAGTGCAGCACTGAATTATTCGCTGCTATACTTATAACTGTTTTCAGCGATAATCACAAACTAAAATTTTATTTACTTCTACTGAAACAGTTTGCTATATTTGAAGAAATAGATACGAATTCTCTTGGAGATTCCGGTCTCAATCAAATAAAATTTTGGTTAAGATAAAGAAATAATTTCTTCGTAAGGTCAAAATTCAAACAAAATGTGCTTGATTTCAAAGAAACTTTTTTCTGGGTGTACGTTTCTAAAATATTGGAACGAATAGGTGAATTATGAGCACAAAGTAAGACGATGTACTTCGCGGCGGTACACCGCGAGATTGCGCGTGTCATTTTAATTCCTCGTATCATAAAGTAGCGCGTTTCTTGTCTCTTTCTCTCTTTACGATATCTTTTTCTCCGTTTCCCGTCGTAACGCCAGAGGAACAGAATACTCTGCACTGGAGGAAGATATCGCGATTAAGTTTTTGCGTGGAAAATGTAAAGAAGGATTGATACGCCGAGAAACTTCCTGTTCTACATTTTCTTTCATAATTTTCTCAATTAGAAAAATTCGCGCTGTTAATTTGTCATGCATGAAGTAGGTTCGTAAAAATGATTGTAAATACCTCGTAAAATGATTTGCCTTTCGTGATATCTGTGTCGCCGCGCTGGAGGATAAGGAACTGCCGCGTAAGAATATTCCGACTAAACGTTTGCGTCGAGGATGGAAAAGAGAGATGTTGCGTCAGGAATTTCTTCTTTTAAGCGTCTATGTTGAATTAATTAACAATATTAACTTTAGTAAAAACAATTCGCGCTTCTAATCTCATTTATTCTCCGCGCAAAGATACTAAGGTGAGACCGTTGAGAAACGACGATGGAATATCCGTTTTTCGTGACATCCCGTTGCAACGTGAGAAAGAAAGGGGACCGTGCGCAAGCGGCAAGAGTATTCCGTTTGCGCTGAAGATGTACTCGTAAACAAGAAATGACATGCCAGGGACTTCATGTTCTACAGTCATACGCTAGATTGATTTCATAGTCAAGGCTCTCGCGTTGCTATTCTAATTACGCTGGCTATAATATGCTGTGTACAACGGTATCGAAGCGCAAGATCATTGAGAAACGATCTCGCGAAATATTTGCAAGAGTATTCGGACTAAACGTTTGCGCTAAAGATGTTAAATTATACGTCAAAACTTTATATTCCACATTTCTATGCCTATTTTTATGGTCAAAATCCTCGCGTTGCCGTTTTAATTATGCTAATCATATATACAACACGAGGGACCGCGCGCAAGAATATTCTGATTAAATATTTACGATCTAACTCAATTTATTCGAAGGAGAAAACGCTCTTACTGGCGCTTCTTTATTATAATAGAAATTCGCACGTGTCTACACTCATTTTGTTTCTTGATTTCTCGGCTGACGTCAATATAGGTTGCTGTTTAATTATTCGAAGGAATAGATTCTTTGTTAAACTTGTAAACTTACTTTCAATGATGATTAAGCAGTTGATCGACCATGACTGGCTATGTGTTTTGAACACAGAAGATTTATTGTGAAAAATATTACCTCAGCCGGGGTTGGAACCTGGACCTCCCTTCACTCTAAGCGGGCGTTTCAACCAATTCGACCACCGAGGCATAATACGCCAAGCCCTGGCTGAGGTAATATTTTTTACAATAAATTTTCTGTGCTAAAAACATATAGCCGGTCATGGTCGATGAATTGCTTAACCATGGTTATTTATCTGCTGGCGTCAAATGATTCTTGAAGCTAATTTCAATGATACCATGCTGTTCTCTGATTTAATCTTTCTTCTTCTTCCTCGTATATTAGACTGAATTAAAACCTATTTTATGGTTATATTTATTATATATTTAAGGCTGCTAATCTTGCCGAAGTGATTTAAATCGATTAGTGGAAACCTGGCTGAGGTAATATTTTTTGCAATAAGAATTTTTTATTCAATACAGGGAGGGGGGTTATTGTAATGAATGCTAACAATAAGTATAGCATTAAAAATAATTTATGAAATGGTTCAGTGATTTTATAATACGTGAATTCACTGAATTATACATATTGTATGTCCGAAGTAACGGCGCGCAGGTCAGGTTGAAAAAAATACGGTGTATGGATTCCGATAGTAATTTAATTGGCTACCTGCACCTATGCCAGGTCCTAAGTGGCTTTTACGTTTCTAATTGATTTATATCTTATTGTTAAAAGAACCGAGCTAAAACTTTAGTTGTTAAATAATATGCTAAAATTTGCTAGTTGGGTTGACAATATTTCAAAAAAAGTGACATTTCTTTCGTTAATGTGCTATGCATTAAGGTAGCAAAGCGAAAGTGTAGATCTCGAGAGACGCGGTTGTAAATACTTGAAATATTGGTTTTTCTTGACACCCATGTCGCAACGTTAGAGAGTAAAGGATCGTGTGCAACAATTTCGAACTAAATTATGTGAAAACAAGATGCCACGAATTTCTTCTTTTAAATTCATCATTATCATATGGTTCAGTGAGGAGTTGCTAGCTTCTCGCCAACCCCCTTTTCGGAAGACCTTCTTTTAAATTTCTACGTTGAGTTAATTAAGCTACAGTATTAACTTTACAGTAAACAAAAACTCGCCCTGCTAACCTCATTTTATGTACCTAGATATGAAGGTATCAGAAATCGTTGATAAACGGCGCAGATCACGGAGAGTGTCTTGGAAAATATTTGTTTTTTATGATATGCTGTTGCTACGTAAGAAGGAAAGAGGACTGTGTGCAAGAATGCTTTAATTAATATTTGCATAAGATTGAAAAAAGATCTGTTAAGAACTTCCTTTTTTAAATCCCTACATTAATTTATATGTTAATTTCATAGTAAAAACAACTCACGCTGCTAATCTCATTATTCTATGCAAGTATCCAAGTAAGATCGTTGAAAATACCGTTGAGTATCTCGTGGAATATTTGATCTCTCTGTTTATTGTCTTGTTTATTGGCTTTTGTCTTGTTTTTTGTTTTTATCTTTGACTACGAGCAAAGGACACGATTTTAATTGCGTCAAGGTGGTTCTTGCAGGACTTTGAAGTCACAAAAGCAACTATTATTACTAATGACAAATATGAATGATTTAGTATGTAAAAATCAGCATACATTAATTATTTAAATTAATTATTCCGTAAGGTTTTTTCTCATTGAACCGTCGGATGTCGGTATAAACTGAAAATATCAGAGCGAAGTCACAAATTTGACTAGAGTTGGAACCATACATTTGGCAACGTCGCAATTTTAATGACAGGATGACAGCCGGTGTATCGATAGTGAATATATTCATACAACTGCCGAAAAAGATATATTATCTTTATAACATCCATTGAACCTCCATTCAACGGTGGGAGAATGGTAGGACACGCGCCTTGTGCTTATGCGTCAGCTGACGCGTGCGACCGTGCGACGTTGCCAAGCTGCCACTCAAGATGGCGGCCATGACTCTCGTGTCGTGTCAAAAATTGCCGAAAGTTCGTCGGAAGTTTCGCTTTATTTATGGTACAGTACGGTCAATCAGTTTGGTGTCGCGTCAGTATCTGTAGAAATGTTTATTGCATCGATTAAACAGTTTTTTATTCGTTCATCATGGCGATAAGTATGAACGTATTTCATGAATGTGCGATCTGACCCTCCTTTCCCTATTATCAATATGTAAAATTGCCAAAGTTTACGGACATATATCTCCGGAACCAAGCGGTTAAAAAATCCGAAATTTTTCATACACACTCTAGGAACGTTAATCTTTCATTTGATATCATATTTTTCGAGTTATCTCGGTTTGACCTAAATGCAAGAACCACCTTAAGGAGATGCTGCAGTGATTCCGCACTTTTAAGTTCAAAAGGTACAAAAGTGCAGAATCACTCCAGCATCCCTTTAATTAAGCGACGCATAAACTCGCAATCAGAAAAAAACTCGCTTATTCTGTACCATAGACATAGTAAGACTAGACCGAGCGTTTGCCTTCATTTGAAGAGTGGGGGTAGCGCCAACATAGAAAAGGACAAACAATATAGATAGTAGCTCTAATAGAACGTATCTCCTTCTCTCTCATATGCGCTCGACCTCCCGATCGGAACTCACATTTAGGTTAGAAACACACAGAGAGTAGAAAGAGACGAAGATACGTACTATATCTTTTCTCTCATTTTACATGAGCCCTTACCCCCACTCCTTAACGCTCGGTCTAGTCTTACTATGGGTGTATTCCGAATCGAGTTAGTTCGGCTTATTTTTGTTTCCAGATGTTGGCAGCGCTTAACTAAACCGAAACCGAGAAGTGTCCCGAAGCCGACATAACCTGTAAACATCGGCAGCTTGCAGCAGACAAGCAATATTATTTTATAATCCAAATAACTATCAGTATAATTTTATCTATCCAATAACATTATTACAACACTTACCATTATGAGCTAAATCATAAATATCTTTTGTAACAAGAAAAGTGTAACTTATGTTATTGAGATCTTTTATTTCTAAACGCAACATTTCTTATAATGATACGATAATATTTATTAATTTTTTAGAATTACGTCTCCTTGGATGAACTCTTAATAATCCACCCTTTGAACAGAAATGGATTCACTCGCGATAGTACAGAGCCACGAATATATACGAGAAGTATATTTGCAGGTTATGTCGGCTTCGGAACACTTCTCGGTTTCGGTTTAGTTAAGTGGCTGCCAACATCTAGAAACAAAAATAAGCCGAGCTAACTCGATTCGGAATACACCCTATGTCTATGTTTTGCACACAGGAACGAGTTTGCTTCTCTAAGGAACGCGACATGAATTCGACGGACATTGAATCTGATCGCAAGCCGCTTGAACAGTTACCACGGTACTACGTGTGCGTATGCGAGGAAACATCACGCCGTTTGCAGGTGCTGCTTTCTTATCTCTGAGGGTTGTCCTTGATGCTTCGTCATTTTTCACAACAGTCGAATAAATAGAAGGAAGGATCAAGGTGATCAAGGGAGGGTCGATCGAATTATTTGCATCAAGAAAACAGGTAAAGTTAATGTGCATCATTCAAGTATTCTGATTTTTTTATAAGCTTTATAGATGTGAAATGGATAAAAAGAGAGGAAGCTATATAGAGGAAAATCCCCTATTATGAGACAAGCTCCTAATATGAGATAGCAGGATTTTTTCTAAATTAATAGGCATTATTTATTGATTTCATTGTGAATTTATTGCCCTTGGAGTGAAATCTGTTTAGTGGAAAATTCACTCTTAGATGATGTGATCGTTGCAAATAAAGATTTGTGACTAATTATATTATTAAAAATAAATTTTGTTGTCAAAAACCTGCTATCTCATATTAGAAGCCTATCTCATAATAGAGTACTTGGTAATTATGCATAAAAGGGGCCTCCTCTCCGATTTGCTTCATTTTTAAATATGTTGTTGGGGATGTCTTCCCGAGTCATTTCATATATATACATATATAAGGACCGGACTCAAATAGTTTCGGAGATACAGGCTGAGAAAGGATACAAATAATAAATACTTATATGGTAATTCTTCAGTATAGCTGCTACACCTCCAAAATCAATCAAATTGGTCTCATTCGACGCGTTTTTCAACGAGAAACAACTTTTTCCTCAGACAAAATCGTTGCTCTGCCCTGCGAAGCGAGATATTAATTGTTAAAGTTGACAACTTTTAGAGTTAGGAAATCTGTCATACCGACGAAATGTAGCGACAT